TGGGGTGGAGGGGGGAGGAATGATGATCGAGGTTGTTTGACGTATTGGGTCCTTTTTATATATGTATATATATATACATATATATATATAGTCAGGCATCGAAGCGAGAGATCATCGTGGACTTGCGGGGGCCTTCAGAGATTTGCGAGGAATCGAAATACTGGATGTTGCTGCGTGCGTTTGCGTGGTCCTCCAGGCACTCCTCGCGGCCACGGGTGAGCCAAAGCGCACGTCCCGTTGGGTCCGGGGTTTCGCTATCGCGACGGGTTGCTCTGCGCTGCAGTCTTTCAGCACTTGAACCCGTTTCGGGCCCTGCAACCAGAGTGAATCAGCAGCGGCGCGGAAATTGTCCCCCATAGTGGGGTCCACGAGAAAACTCCGGAGAGTGCACGACGAGGGCATCGGTCGCCGAAGTGTCACAAGTGCAGCCCATTCATATGCCCCCGCGCGACCCCGAACAATCCTCTAGATCCTCCCCCCGCAACTCCCGCTGCGTCCTTTGTCCTATTCCAGCGCGGTTCGTGGACCCCGAGAGCCCCGTCCAGCCAGCCAACCCCTCCTCTCCCCGCTGCCGGCGTTCAAAACGGAACGCAAGCACAGACACACATAAACGCTAATAACCACCAGCGCATGGCAAACAAGGGAAGCGGATGGGAGTACGGATATCCAGGAACAATGCAACCATATGAGGAGCGCAGATGTTTGTAGAATGTTTATTGTGACGGTCTTACGACGACCACGACGACAACGACAACGACGAGTTGATGACCCTGCCACAAACTCGGGACACGGAGCGGGCGGTGGAGGGAGGAAGAGGCGCAGGAGAGGGAGGAGGAGGAGGAGGAGGAGGAGGAGGAGGAGGAGGAGGAGGAGAAGGGAGAGGAAGATGATGATGAGGGAGGAGGAGGAGGAGGAAAAGGAGGAGGAGGAGGCGGAGGAGGAGGAGGCGGAGGAGGAGGAGGAGGAGGAGGGAGGAAGAGGGGGCGGAGGAGGAGGGGGAGGAGGAGGAGGAGGAGGGGGAGGAGGAGGAGGGGGGAGGACAAGGAGGAGGAGGAGGAGGAGGAAAAGGAGGAGGAGGAAGAAGAGGGGGAAGAGGAGGAAAAGGAAGAGGAGGAGGAAGAAGAGGAGGAGGAGGAGGAGGAAAAGGTGGAGGTGAGCATGGCCTCGGGAATACCTTTTCAACAGCTATGAGTATGCGAGTGAGTGAGGTAGAGGAGGAGAAACACGAGGAGTGGAAACGGGAAGACGCGTAGGAGAGAGGAGGAAGACGAAAACGAGGAGGAGGCGGAGGAGGAGGAAAAGGAGGAGGAAGATGACGATGCGGAGGACGATGCGGAGGAAGAACATGAGGAGGAAGAGGACGAGGAGGAGGAAATGACGAGGACGAGGACGAGCAGGAGGAGGAGGAGGAGGAGGAGGAGGAGGAGGAGGAGGAGAGGGGGAGCCGTGTGATTCCTCTGGGCAAGCGTCTGGTGCGTGTTTTTTGTTTTCGATTCCATAGGCTTACGCCACATCCGCCGGCCCCTATATAAACTACTGCGCCTCCAGGGCTGCATTCCACGAGGCGGATTGTCCGAAGCATGGCACGGCGCTCGACATCGTTCTTGCTGCTTCGTTGCTGTAATCGTATCTCTTGGTTTTTGTTGTGGCCTTTTGGTGGCATCTTGGCTTGTCTGCAGGCCATATCTGGCCGCCTCGAGGCATCTTGGGCCAAGTTTTGCGGCCTCTTGGGAGATTATTGGTGGCTTCTTGGAGGCTTTTGAGGTTCTCTTGGGGGTCCCTCAGGGCCTCTTGGGGTGATTTCGGGGCAGGTTGGGGGCGTCTTGAGGCCGAAGGCTTGAAAAGGTGCCCTCTGGACTCCCTCTTGGGGCCGTCTGGGGGCCTTTTGGGGCTGTCTTGGGGGCGTCGTGGGCTGTTCTTGGTCCCTCTTCGACCCCTCTCGGGGCCCCCTTCGGCCGTCCGGGGGCGATATTGACGGTTTCTTTGCCCGTCTTGCGCGTTGTGGAAGCCGCAAAGGCGAGTATGCGACACATGTTTTTGTTTGGGTTTCAAAGGGAATGGGACAACTTTTGTTTGTTGGGGCCTTCTTCGGACGCATCTTGGTGGCCTTTTGGGGCGTCTTGGCAGCTTCGGAGGCCTTCTGGAGGTCATCGTGGGCGTCAAGGAACGATATTTCGGCGACTCGTGGCCCTTTGGGACCGTCTGGGGAGCGCTTTGGTGCCTTCTTGGCCCGTTTTGGAGACCTCCGATCCCCCGTGGCGCGTTCGGTCCGGGGTCGCGCCGGGCCAAGGGGGGGGGGGGTCAAATTGCCGGTTTGGGGTCCCTGGAGGGGGATGACGGGGGGGGATAATCGCACACGCCTAGAGACCCACAAATGGTCGGCGGATTCAGGCAAGTTCACTTGCATGGCAGTCACCCCCCACACCCCCGGTTCTGATTCACACGGTACTGGGCCGAAAAAGCGTCCAAGTGCTTTTCGTCTTGCGTGATTTCCGCGCCACCCCCCGCGTGCAAGTGCAAGGCGCTATTGGGGCATGAATTTGGTTCAAGATGGCTCTTCTGTCAAGTGCAGCTGTCCGCCTAATGGATCGCCATCGTAGCCCCGACGGCATGGACTTTGCAGAACTTGTGGCTTCATGGTCTCAAACTTGCACTCTGAATGTTTCCAGTGCTCAGGCGTCCGAGACGAGCAAACCGCTTGAGACATCCCAAGCACCAAGCACCTGGGCGCGATCGCGTCCGTGCAATCCTTCCTGGCGCCCCCCTTGGAGAGTCTGAGAAATCCTTTCAAACTGCTCCGATAACACCAGATTTGGGGCCCATGCAGAAGACCGCCTGAGGTATTCCTCGGAGAGGTGGCCACATGGCACGCCCATCGCTTCAGTTATCGTCAATTCGCCACACGACGACCTTGCACTTGCGAGGCGCGGACCCCTGCCTCCCAGCGTGCAAGTCGCCTGCGGCCTGCTTCGGGTTCAGCCCCCCCCCCGTGCACGCAAGCAATCTTGCCGGAGTCAAAAAAAAACGGCTCCTGGGGGGCAACACGGCGCGGGTCAGGGCCCGCTGGCCTGAGTGCCCCGGAGCCAGAGGCCGGGGTCGGGGCCGGGGCGGCCGGGAGGGGTTCGGAGGCCCCTCTGCCGACAGGGAGGCCCGCCACCCTGCTTCTCCACAAGGGGGGGGGGCCGCCCGGGGGGACGGGGGGGGGAGGGCCGCGGGGCCCACGATGGGGGTGGCAGCAATCTGACCCAGGACTCCCCCTCCGCCCCTCCTCGTCAGGGAGGGGAAGAGAACATGGGTAGGGAGAAGTCGACTTGACCACGACGCGTCTTTGAGAGCATTTCTTTTCTCCGTTCGTTTTTAGATTTCCTCGGGACTGGCGACGACGACAACGACGGCGACAGCGGCCCACACACGCCGCCTGGGTCGGCGGATTTGTGTGTGTATGTCCCTGGGCTCCTTCAGACGTGCCGCCCTGGCCCCCCCGCGGTTCGGGGGGCCCGTGGATCATGCCGTGGTTCTGGCAGGGGAGCCCGCTGGACGCTGCCAAGAGGCCCCCTTGCCACGCCCCGCCCTCCGGGCACGCCGGGGAGGCACGGACGCGTCCCCCGGTCCCTCCAAGTCGAGTCTGGGGCGAAGGAGGAGGAGGGATGAGGAGGAGGAGGACGAGGAGGAGGAGGAGGAGGAGGACTTGAGGCGGGAGGACCTGGCCACAGCCAAAAGAACAGAAAACCAACAGAATGGCCCAAGGGCCTTCTCTGTTTTTTTGCAGACAGTGCCGCCGCGCCGAGCTCCCTTTCTCTCCTCCTTCCCCTCTGGCGTCATGGTTCCTTGTTGTCCCTTCTCTCCCCCTCCTCTGTCCGCATTGTGTTGTCTTGTTTTCGTACGCTTTATAGCTTGCCCACTTAGCCAGGCTCCAGCTTCTTGGTTTGATCACCTCCCCGTGGACCAACGGCCCTGTGGGCGGGAGGGCCGCGTTCGACGACCTCTCGGGCCACAAGGAACAGGAGCCAGGAGGAGGAAGAAGGCGAAGGGAGGAAGGAACAGGGAGGAAGGCAGGATTAGGCGGAGGAGGAGGAAGAGGAGGAGGAGGAAAAGGAGGAGGGATGGCTGAGAACGCTGAGGTGGAGTAGGAGGAGGAAGAGGAGGAAGAGTAAGAGGAGGAGGATGAGGACGACGAGGCAGAGGCGAAGCGGGAGGAGGAAGGGGAAAGGGGATGCGGAGAAGGATGAAGAGGAGGAGGAGGAGGAGGAGGAGGAGGAGGAGGAGGAGGAGGAGGAGGAGGAGGAGGAGGGGGGGGAGGAGGAGGAAGAGGATGGAACGGCTGATGTAGGAGTGCGGAGGGCGAAAGAGAGAGGAGTGGGGACGAGGAGGGGGGAAAGGGGGTCGTGGGGCGAACGGAGGGGTGGAGGAAAGGAGGGGCGGAAGAGGAGGGGCTTAGGAGAGAAGGAGGAAACGCAGTGGACTGGACGGGGGGTTGTCGCACGCCGAGCGGTACTCGGTGAGCCTGATCCATGCCATCATCCGAGGATATCGTCGCGCGCTTCGACGGGGTATTGGGTCTTGTCGCAGCGTGTGCGATGGTTGAGGGGGTCAGCCTTGGCGACGCCGTCGACTGCCAGGATTTGGATGTGGGCAAGAGCTGGCGGGCGGAATCGCCGCAGTCCGAGTTGCTCGACGACGCGTCGGGTTCTCTCGCTGGGCTCTGTCCTGGTGAGGCACTCGCGAGGAGACGAATTACCTCGTGGACGCCCTGGACTTTTCAAAGTTGTCGATCGGGACTTCGCGTTGAACCGCATGGGCGGCAATCGGCGCATCCAGGTCCGCTGGCTCGACGCGAACAAAGGGTCGGACGAGTCCAAGGAGCACCGGTCGCAGCCGGCTGGGATGGAGACGAAGCGGCGGGGTTCTATCGACGCCCAAGTCAAGGGTGGTGTCTGAGGATCGACGCCACATCTGGAGGCGATTCGCACGCGGCGTCAATTGCCATGACGGCGGGGGCCATGGCGATGGAGCAGGGCCCAGAGGACGGCATCGTGGTCGTCTTCTTGGACACCAGTCGCGCGCGCCCGCACGTCGACGTGACAAGGGAGCTGTGCAACGATATCCCAGCTGAGCACCCTGAGCATGTTGCGGCGAGGGTTGGGCGGCTGAAGCGAGGGCTGCGTTGACTCGGCGATGCAACCCAGAACTTCGAACAGGCGGCCCAGTCGGCGAGGGGGGGTGCTGGGGCCCAGCGAGGAATACATCACCCATGCGCGTTCTCGCGATTGGCTCGGCACCTGCACGTCCTGCCTGCGCCACGGCAGCGACTTCATCCTGAAGAGACCGAAGCGCGATTGCAGATGGATGAAGGTGCATGTCGGCCCCGCCTTCGTTGGCAAGGGCTGCGGACTGATGGGGCCGAGGCGCTGCGACCAGAATTCAATAGCGATCTTGGCTCACGCGATGCGGTTGGCCCCTGCAGGTGCTGCCAGCCAGGGGTGCCTCGAGCGCAAGGCGGACCCACGACGTCGTGAAGTTGTCATGCTGAAGCTGGGATTCACCGGGAAGAGACTCTCTCGAGACAGGAGTGGTCACGTTCGCGGAGAAGATCCCCTTCAACCCTGAGACCGAGAAGGCGCCGAGGGATTCCGAGGCTGGCATCTTCAAGGGCGCGGTCATGAGGCTAGACCTGTTGGCCTGGATCGCCCGAGCACGCAGTTTGCGGCGAAGGAGGCTGCCCGCGGCGTGGTCCTGTCAACGGTTCTCTGTGCGCCCGAAATGGGCGCGGAAAGAATGGGCACAATGCCCAACGGCAGTTCCTGTTCATTTTGGACGGGCGTTGGCCACGCCGCCGCGGCCTGTGCCCATTCGGGGCAGAAGGCCGCCTGCCCAACAACGGCCGCTGCTGGTTTAGGACAACATCTGTTATTGTGTATTGTACCCATTGTTTCCGCGCCCATTTCGGGCGTCCAAAGGTTCGACGCCATCAATTGCTTATGGGGCGAATCCATGCGCCGACGTTGACATGGGTCTGGAGATTCCAGGGTCCCCCGTGGGCCATCGTGACTTTGCGTCGCCTGGACTGGGTGGGCAGGTTGGAAATTGACGAGGAGATCCACATCAGGGGCCGTGGTATCTGTGGCGGGCCCTCCGTGGCGCGGCAACTCGATCACGGAGGCGTCGGTCAGGCTGAGCAGCGGCAAGGCGGAGGCGCGCGGGGTGGCGCCGGCTTACATCAGGGCGCCTTGGGCGAAGTTTTTGGCCATCGACTTGGGCTTCGCTACGCGCGGCGCCCTCTGGTTGAAGAAGGCCCGGGCCGATTCGAGCGCCGCCATCGGAATCTGCCAGCGGCGAGAGGTGGCAGTATCCAACACCTGAAGGAGGGGCGCTTGTGGACCCCGTCGGCCATCGCGCGCGGGGGGGTCGACGAGCCGAAGAAGGTCCCAGGCAAGCTGGCCCCGCTAGACGCACTGACCAAGGCCAATGACTGGACCACCCTCGAGCGACAGATGAACGCCGTGTCCCTGCAGGCGCTGGCGGCTCGAGCTTCTGAGATACAATCTGCCTTTGCAGTGGAGAGGAGCTGGGTCGAGGACGCGACGGGGCCCAATGCGCCTGGTGGTCCAGCTTGGCGATGTGGCGGTCACCTGGGCCCAGCTCCAGCCGTCGCGCGGTTCCTCTCGTGGGCGTGATCGTCGAGCGGGCTGAGGTCGAGGGTCATTCGTTGAGGATTGCGCCATGTCCGAGTGGTGGTTGTTTGAGTGGGTCGCCGCGCTCCATCGCCCATGCTGTTGTTCTCTTGCAGGTTTCGAACCTGCCGGCGGAAGTGATGGCCGGCCGGTGTGGCTGGCCGCGAGCGCAGTGAGATGGGCTGGCGCGCGGGCGACGCGCGCGCCGACCCGAGGGGGCCGGCAAAGGTCGGGGCCCTTGGCGGGCGCATGGCCAGAGAGGCCCCCTTCGCAATTTAGCGCCCGTCGCCCGTTGGCGCTTGGTTCAAGCCGTGGAGGGATTGAGATATGAAGCGTCGTTCACAGAAAATCACGACCAATACCCGGACTCCACTTTCCTGCCCCATTCTTCGAAGGGGCCCGATCTGGCCCCCAGGCCCGAACATTGGCGAACGCGCCCTGATCGGCCAAAAAAGGTTGGAGCCAGCGCCGCGCGCGTTGGCGCCGCCGCCCGCGCTGGGGCTTCCGATTTCGGCGGCGTCCAGACAGGCGCGAACCGATTGGCGCTTCGACTGCCGCCCGTGGCCCGGCGCGTTCGCGGCGCGTGGTCAGGTGCGCCGCTGCGGTCGACTGCGCGGGTTGCCCGCGTCGTTGCCGCGCATCGGGCTGGCGGGCATCGCGGGTTCTTTCGGGCGCCAGTTCGAGTAGTTTCGGGATTGGCGGCCGCGCGGGCACCGCGTCAGATGGGGGAGAGGCTCCGGCATCGCTGCAATTTGTTCATTTTTGTGTTTGGGGGGTCTCTTGGGGGGCCCTCGTCGGCGAAGGTTCGGGGAGTAGCGGCATCGTGTCTTCTACCCCGCAATATGTCCACAGAGGGAGCTCGAGGATTGCGGGCGGTGCTGGGCGGAAGACGCGCTGGCTCCTGCGAGACCCGCGGGGTGCGATCGGATCCTCGCCGACCAATCGCACCAACGCCTGGAACTGTGAGTGAACTGCGAATCGGCGGCGTGAGTTCGACGAGAGAACAATTGCATAATTATGGGCTTCCAGGACTCCGCGCGGATTCCTCATGTCGACACTGAGACTCCCATGGCGGCGCTTGCGGCACCGCTTCCCGCGCGTTCCGCGCGCCAGAGAGGCGGGGCCCAGCGCCGATCCCAGTGATCCACGCGGAGGTTCGCTCCACGCTTCTGCCGCGCTTTTTCGCTGATCGAGCAAAGCGTTTACAGCGGCGTTTGCGCGGTGCGCTGAGAAGCTTCGACGCAGGTCGATCATCCAGCTTCGCTGCCACGCGCATCCACCGCTGCACCGCGGCTGCGCGCGCCGGGGGGGGGGGGGGCGCGGCGGGCGAGTAAGGGGCAGCGCGAGGGGGGGGGGTGCAGGGTGGACAGCGTCGACCCCTAATCGCCAATGCGTCGCCGATGCTTGATGGCCCAAACCGCGCGACAGCACTCGGCGACGCAGTCGGGGCCTCATCGCCGATGCATCGGCGACGCGTCGCCCGTTCAAGCTCGACGTTAACTCCCTGAGCTGTTCCCCTCCTCATCTTTGCCCCCCGGGAAGGGTGAGTGGCGCGGGGGGGGGGGGGGGGGGGATCGCTCCTCGCCTGAGCTTCTGTTTTCTTGACACTTGTGATTCATCTTAATCGTTGTTCTTCGTTGCGCGCGTCTACGGCCATGGGGGCATCTCGCGCCCCCGCCGACGGGCGACCCGATCAGACGCTGAATTGCGCACGCGGGCGGATCAGAAGAAGAGGGGGGGGGGGCGGCCGCGGGGAGGAAGAGAAGGGGGGGGCAAGTTGCGCTGTCGCGAGCGGGGCCTAGAGTCGACGGGGCCGTTTGTCATTGCTTCCGTGTGTCATGCGTTGTTTTTCCCCTTTGCGTCTCCGGTCCCGTCGCCTTTGTTGGTGCGGTGTCGGTCCCGATGGCGGTGCATTTTTTGTTTTGGTGCAGCGTTTTGTTTTGTTTTCAGCATTGTCCGAGCGTTGGGCGCCATGTTATGGGACGCGTTCGACGGCGCATGGCGCGGGGCAGCGCTCTTGCGGCCCGACGACGCGCGCCCGCCCCAACCAGTTGAATGCCCCCCCCCCCCGTATGACATCCCCTTCGATTGTGCACGTTTGCAGCGCAAGTTGTGTTCACCTATGCGAAAGTATACGTCCATGATTGCGGATCCGTATACGTGCCTGTGTATATGAAAGTCTACCTGCAAATTCATCATGCATACGCGTATGTCCATGTATACGTATATGTGTATGTATAGGTGCCGATATGTATATATATATATATATATGTTTATGGGTATATTGAACAATGGGAAACCGACCCCAACCCCCACAACCATGGATTTTAGACGTTTGCGTTTTGCTTGCATCCACGGCGAATGAGCGTAAGTGTAGGCGCCCTGTCGGCGAGACCATTGCCAGCTGCCGCAGGGGGGCCCGCGCGCGCGGCGACGCCCCGGGCCCGCTCGACGCGGCCGCGCCCGCGCCGGCGTTCCCATGGCGGCGCGTGGCACGGCCGCGGCTCGCAGTTTGAGGCGACGGCGGCGATGTCCCTTGCACAGCAGCGCCGCTGGCCCAACCGAGGGCCTCCGCGCCCGCCTCCGTCGCCCCCCCCTGACCCCGCCGGCGGAAACATATATAGATCGGGAGCGTTTCTGTTAAGGCAACTGAGCTTGTAAAGTTCTTTGGCGGTTGCGTAAAAACGTTTTTTCTGTTTATCTTGTCGGGGCTCCCGCGCGAGACCTTATGCTTCGGAACGGTTTAGATTGATTGTTCATGGAGTTTATATGAATGTGTTGCGCCCGGTGCCTAAACTTTGTTTTTGGGGTGGATGTATGCGTTTCGCCGCGAGCCCGTGCAGGGCGGCCCCAGACGCCGCGCGGTGCTCTTGCCAGCGCCGCCATGGGCCGACGCGCCCATGGGTTTTTGCCCGAACACGAGCGCGCGAATGTCCACAATGGTTTTGGGAAGCGCCAGGTTCGAATGCCAATGTGCATGGCGGCGGCGCGCCGTTCGCATTGAATGTCGCGGCGTTGTCGTTGGCTGACCGTCAAGCAGTTTCCCCTCAATTCGCGCGTCGTTCGACGGTCCTATGTGTTTAAAGTTCCTCATGTGGGGGGCGTGGGGCGTTTTTCATGCGTTCGTATATATAGAGGCATGAGTACATCCAAGTGTATAGTTATGTGTGTATGTGTAAACGTATAGGTCGGTGCAGGTGTATATGTACGCATGCATATGTATGTGTAGATGCGTGCGTACGTGTATGTGTAGGGGTAGCTATATGTCATCGAACCCATGCAATTGTAGTATCCGAAATATTTATCGACGCATCCGTATATGTATATGTATGTGCCGTATCATATGTATGTATACGCACGTGTATAAGCATGCGTACGTGTATGTGCCGGTACGCATGTGTATATTTGCATGCGAATGTATCACATGTGTCAACACATTCACGTGTGTGCGTGCATGCGCATGGACATGTCGTATTAAACATACCAATGTGGAATGATGGAACCCATAAGCATGCGTGTTTTGTAACACACACAAACATCCGTTGCCAGTCGAGTCGTGAATATGTTATTCCAGTGCCGCCAGTTCAAGTAATGTTTTACGCGTGCTCGCACGAAACCAGAACAGCAAACCGCCGACTCTGAACACGAATGTCCCCCCGCTGTTTCCGTCGGCGTTCTCCCCTTATCTCATCCGCCCCCCCGTTCCTCCCCTTAAGTACCTGATCCGTTGTTTCTGGGATTTCCGTCCCGCCAGGTTTTCCCTCATTGCTTGATGCGTTTCCCTCAGCCCTTACCCCCCATTTTTTTAATTTACGTGGGGATGGGTGACTTGTGCGGGGGAGCGGCATGAGGTATCGACGGGGATGCGGGAGGGAAGCGGGTGGACAGGGGGGACGGGGAACACGAGACGACGACGAAGGGGAGGGGAGGAGGAACTGGAGGTATGGCAGAGGCTTCATCCCCACCCCCCCCTCGCGGCGCGGACGGAAAGGTGGAGAGTCTCGCAAATGTCCCCCTCTGCCCGTCCCCCTCATCGCGATGGTCCTCCTCGTCCTCCCCCCCCCTCCCCGCGCCTCCCGCTCCCTCCCCCCCCCCCCTTTCCTTGCCTCGGCCCCTCTCCCCTCTCTTCCTGGCGGCTCTCGGGTCCTCGCTCGGGTCCCCGGCGGCCGTCCGGCACGCTCTTGCGCCCCCTCTCCCCCTCCTGCACCCCCCCCCCTGGAGCGCTCTTTTATGGCGAGGGGCGCAGCGGCCAGCTGGAGCGCTCCCACAAGGCTGGAGAGAGCCGCCGCGGTCCGGCGAGACCGCCCGAAGGCATCGAGCCTCAAGTGGGGCCGAGGAGTATACAAAATAGTCAAACAGTTTTGTTCCAATTAGTTGTTTCAAATGTGTTTGTTCATCGCCGAAGATTGTTTGCGTATTGGGGGTATTTGTGTGGGGGTATTTGTGTATTTACATATTTTTCAATGTGGGGGTATTTGTTTTGCGTATCTTTAGTTCTTCGCCGAAGATCCGCCTGCCTGTAGGGGGGCACGCCCGACCTGAATCGTGCCTGGAAGCTGGAGCTTCCTCTCGAGGTCTTCGCCAGCCGCCTCGGGCCTTCGCCCCTTGGGGCACGAACCAGGAGGGAGGCGATCATTTAGGCCTCTCAGTTGGGGTCCGAGCAGATGGGGTCGGAGGATCGCGCCGCATCGCCGATGCGTCAGCGATGCGGCTCGATGTGGAGCCCGTGTTTCCCCACGCCGACGCCGCCGATGCCCCGCCGAAGTCGCCGAGGCATCGTCGATGCATCGCCAGTACATGGGCGATGCAGTGGCGATGCGCCGCGATCCTTCGACTCCATCTATTCGGACCCCACCTAGAAGGCTTTTAGATAAATGGGAGAGGTGGCAGCGGGGGCTGCAGCAGAGGGGCCCTTGAGGGCCCATGAAGGGGCCCTCTAGGGCCCAAACGGGGACTTTCAGGGGCTGCAAAAGGGCACCTTTCTGTCGGATGCAACTCCTGGGAGGTCAAACTCTGGCTTTGCCCTAGGCGGACATCCGAGCTAATCCCAGCTGAATCCCGCTTCATCGGGCTTGCTCCCGCTTACTCTAGTTTCGTCCCGCTCAAGCCGGCTCAATCCTGCTTCATCCGCGGCCTCTTCGGACGTAGCAGCTCCCCCATGTGGCCTAGCTCTATGATTTAATATTTTCGACGGAGGCCTCCCAGTAGTTGCCTCCAGTCTTTCTCTTTCCCCCTCCCCCATTCATCGCACCCCCCCTGACTTCGCGCCCCGCCCCAAGCCAAGCCAGCCGTGTCACCCCAACATGTTTTTACTATATGTGCGTCGCCCCCTCAGGGGTGACGCGCGCACCGAGAAATCTTATAGTATATGCGTCGTGGCGAGCGCTTTCTGGCCACGCCGTTCGGGAAACGATATACTACAAGATGGGTATACTATATGCGCGGGTCGGACGCGCGCCTCCGAGGAGGACATGTAGTATCAGTATGTCTCTGTGCGTCCCTCCAAAATTACGGGAATCCTTAAGACTGGCATCGAGATGAGACGATGCCCAGCATAGGGATGGGGATATGTCCCAGGCTGATAACAGTCTTTGTCTCTCTTCCCCCCCCCATTCTTCGCACCCCCCCTCCCGGAAATCCGCGCCCCGCCCCGAGCCAGGCTTCGCTACTGCGTCCGGTGCGCCCTGCAGGCGGCCTCCTCCCAGGGCCTCGAGTCCATCGCGCTGCCGAGGAGCCGCCCGGGCCGCCCGGCCCTCCTGCCGGGGGGGTGTCGGAGGCTCTGTTGCGTCAGTCACCGGCATGGGGGATCGTCCGCGTGACGTCGGGACGCCAGTGCGGGGGCGCGAGCGAGGAACGGCCAGGCACAAATCGATGAGGAGAAGGCAGAGGAGGGGAGAGAGGGATCAGGATGATATGCAGGAGGAGGAGTAGGAGGAGGAGGGAGGAGGAGGAGGAGGGAGGAGGCGGAGGAGGGAGGTGTCAGGAGTGATCGACAGGACGTGGATGGGCATGTCAAAAGTGCTGGGCGACCGAGGAGGAATTACATTCCTCCAATCTGTCTCTGTTTCCTCCTCCTCCTGCTGATGTTCACAACCTGCTCCCTCCTCCTTGACCTGACGTTCACATCCGTCGTCCTCGTCCTCACTGTACCTGCCCACTGGCACGTCCCCGAAGCCCCATCCCCCCCAAACACCCTGAAACATGATTTTTAACGCGTTTCTCCTCCTCGTCCAAGCTCCCTCCCTCCCTCTCGGGGGAGCGTAAGACCCGGGTTTGCCGGGACTCGGGTTCGCCATCGTTTTTTGACGACCGCGACTCGGATTTTGACGAGGAGGAGTTTCGTGGGATGTCTGCAGCGGGAGGCCTCGTCAAAATGCAGGCTCGGCCTCGTCATTTTTTTGACGACCTCGTCGGGGATTTCCGAGTCCCCCGTACCCGGGTCTTACGTCTCCCCGATCCCTCCCCCCCCCACCGAGGTGCAGGTCTCGAGAGAGAAAACGCCCTCTCTGGGCACCCCCCTGAAAGGGGCCCCGCCGTGGCGGGCGGCCGCGCACCGAGAGGGGGGCGCGGGGTGCTGTTGGGCCAAGGGCTCCCCCGAGGGCGCGAAGTTATTCGCGCTTCGCGGTCCTCGCTCCTTCTCCCCCTCCTCCTCGTCCTCCTATTCTCCCTTTGGGAGGGCGGCGCGAGAGCGCGAAGTTATTCGCGCTTCGCGCTTCGCGCAGCGCGAAGCGCGAAGTTGGGAGCCCTAGCATCAGGAGGGGGGCGCGGGGTGCTGTTGGGCACCAGTTGCGGCAGATCCGCGCTGCCACCGACGCGGCGGCGACGCCGGCTCGAGCTTCCAAAGCTGAGCGCCCTGTCGAAGCCAGCTTCGGACCGCCCGCGCCCAGAGAATATTCCTTGGCGCAAGATCCATGCGATGAAGTTGTGTCGGAGGGCACCAACTATACACCAACACCGATCCTGGCCCAGGATCACCCTGGGCCCAGGATCGGTGTATATGCCTTCTTGCCCAAGGCAGGAGGGCGTATACACCGATCCTGGGCCCAGGGTGATCCTGGGCCAGGATCGGTGTTGGTGTATAGTTGGTGCCTCCCTATTGTGGGGGGCGAGAACGAGAGAGTAGGAAGAGGAGGAACGACACGGATGACGAGGGCAGGGCTGAGACGGCATTTCGGACGGATGAGTGTTGATGATGATGCGGAGGAGGGGGGGACGCGGGATGGGAGAGGGAGGGTGAGGAGTAGGTCGAGGAGGGCACGAGGAGACCAAGGGAGTTTGGAGGGAAGGTAGAGCCAGATCGTACAGACGGAGGGCCGGTGCGAAGACAAGGAAAACACGGAGGATGAGGAGGAGGCTGTTCGACTAGACGTAAGAGTGACCTTTCGCCGGAGTGACCTTTGGTGCGGGCCCAGTGGGGCCCCCTAATCGCCGAACGCGATGCGATAGTGGCGTCTTGCGCCCCTGTGTTTGGCCCCCCCGCGGCCCCCAAAAATCCGCGCACCAAAGGTCACTCTTACCCAGGGTCACTCCTGCGTGTAGCCGAAGACGATGGGGAAGGAAGAGCCAGATGGGTGAGGTGGCCGGTGGGGGCAGGGGGAACCTGAAGGATACGGAGGAGGAGGATGTCAAAAACACCCGTTGGTGCGCTGCGCAGCGAGCAGGGGGGGGCGGGCGGTCTTTGCATCGATGCCCCGCTCCTCCCCCGCCACGAGTCTTGGCGGCGGGGTGTTCGGGTACGAGCCGCGCCAGTGCAGCAGCATCTTCCTCGACGAGGCCGTGGAGAGCCTGCTGCAGATAGAGGCCCTCCAGGGGCAACGAGGAGGAGGAGGAGGAGGAGGAGGAGGAGGAGGAGGAAGAGGGAGAGGTGGGGGGGAGGAGGAGGAGGAGGAGGAAGAGGATGGTGTGTGGAGGGGGAGGGGAGGGGAGCGAGGAGGGAGGAGGAGGAGGAGGAGGAGGAGGAGGAGGAGGAGGAGGAGGAGGAGGAGGAGGAGGAGGAGAGGTGGGAGAGGGGGGGCCGGGCATTCCACGGTCGGGAGCCGTAATTAGGCGCTGCTCGGCTTGTCGCGCCGCTCCGCGCTGGCGGGCGGCACAGCTTGGGGGACGCCGTCGCCCGGAGAGTCCACGCCGCTCACGCTGCGGCACCTCGGCCGCGGCGCCTCCCCGTCGCACCGCCAGGCGTGTCGTCGGGGCGGGGCGGAGAGCCCCAAGAGGGCCCCAAGAGGCTCCCAAGCGGTCCCCAGGAGGAGGGGGAGGAGAAGGAGGAGGAGGAGGAGGAGGAGGAACGAGGACGAGGCCAAGGGAGGAGGAGGAGGAGGAGGAGGAGGAGGAGGAGGAGGAGGAGGAGGAGGAGGGAGGTAGAAGGAGGAGGAAGAAGAGGAGGAGGAGGAGGAGGAGGAGAAGGAGGAGGAAGAGGAGTAGGAGGCTTCCTCGCCGCCTGTGGTCCGGAGACGTCAGCCGTGCGCGCTCGGCGGGAGGGTGGCTCCTCTTCAAATCAAGGTGGGGTTCTCGCCTCGGCGCCGCGCGACCTGGTCTACAGGCGTGCACGGCTGCACGGGAGGAGGGCGGATTTGGAGAGTGGTCTTGTCGCCTTGGCGCCACCAGCGCTCGTTTTAAAGCAGTCCAGCCATGTACGCGGATGGAGGGCGTTACTTCCTGAATGTGGGGGAAGGGGGGGGGCGTTGGAGACGTCGTACGTGTTGTGCAAGAGCTGGATGGAGGCCGGCTCCTGCTCAAGATGGGACACCCGTGGTTTCGGAAGGCGCGAGGGTTTTTTTAGAAGGCCCGTCGCCCTCTGAGAAGGCCTTCTCCTTCTCTTGTCCCCCCCTCGCTTGCCGCCGAGCTCGACGTGTTGCCGTTGGCTTCGTGCTCAGACCTTCACCGAGCGCCTTCCACTACTCGCAAAGTGCCTGCTCGCAGACGTCCGAACAAAAGACACACCGCTGCCTCCGTGTGATCGATCGTGGATCCCCCGCGGCGGATCCAGGTCATTTGCGAGTGGGTGTTTTGCGAGTCGTGGAACGCGCTCGTCCAGACCTGGCTGCGTCCCCACAGCCAGCGGGGGGGGAAGCGCCGACCCTGCAGTCGCCCGTCGGGGCCGCCCGAGCGGCGGAGGCCCGTGGGGAGCCGGTCTGCCCCCGTGGTGGGGCGAGCGGCGCCTCCTCCCCCCCCTCCTCCTCCTTCTCCTCCTCCTCCTCCTCCTCCTCCTCCCTCCATTCCTCTTTCTCCTCCTCCTCCTCCTCCTCCTCCTCCTCCTCCACCTCCCCCTCCTCCTTCTCCTCCTCCTCCTCCTCATCCTCCTCCCTCCATTCTCCTCTTTCTCCTCCTCCACCTACCCCCCGCAGCGGAGGGGATCCTGTTGTAGTGCACCATCGCTCCATCATCCCTTCTGGTTTTTCTGATCGACGCTCAGAGGAGGAAGAAGTACCCATACCTCTACCCCTCCCCCCCCGTTTTCCCCTCGTTGGGCCTCCTGGGTGGCCTTCGTCGCCACCGCTGGATTCGCCTCGAAATCCTGGTCAGAACGCACCCCTGGAGAGTTCTAGGGTGTAGCGGTCTCGGCACCATTTGGTTTCATAAGAAGGGGCGAAGCAATCTGTAGAGAGCTCGGAACAGTTTTCCGCAGTCTTCGTAGTCTTTTTTCGACTTGCAGAGGTGCCAGAGGTGGCCCTGGCCAAGGGAGGGAGATGCCCCATCGCTCGGACGTGTGCGTTTTTTTTTTGTTTCGGCGGTGGCCATCGAGTTCGGTAGCAAGTCATGGGAGCCTGGTGTACCCCCTGAGTTCCGTCTTTGGCTTCGATCAGCGTCGATTCGCGTCTGGGAGTCGGTGAGGCAGCGCCGATTCAGCATTGGTGAACGTTGATTAGCGTCGACTTAGCATCGATTAGCGTCGACTTGGCGTCGACTAGCGTCGATTCCCAAGAGCCGACAAGATGGTATGATGGTATGGGAGGCTCCCATGAGTTGCCACCGAAGTTTGATCTGGCCCCTCCTTCTCCTCGTCCTCGCCCTCCTCGTCGTCCCCCCTTCTCCCCGTCCGTCCCTTCTTGCCTTCTTCCTTCCGAGGCGGGGATTTCACAACCATCGCCTGGGGGATGTATCGTCGGGACCTCGGCAGGCGGTGGATGTGGATATAATCGGGGCCCCGGGGGCCATCACATATCCATATCCACTACTCGCTGAGGTCTCAGGGCTTTGGTTCCCCTGGCAGTGGATATGGAAGAATCCCCGCCTCGCACTCCTCCCCTCGTCCCATCCTCTCCCCCTCTCTCGTCCTTCTCCCTCCGTCCCCCCCTTCGACTTCGACGGCGGCCTCCTCCAGGCGTCCGACCCCAGCTACACGCTGAAGCGGATCACTTTCGTGGACTCGCACCCGGAGACCGCCGAGGCTCGCCGACTGGTGTCGTCGCCGCTGTCCGCGGTCAAGGGAGGATGCAGAAGAGAAGGAGGAAGAGGAGTAGGTGGACCAGGAGGCGTAGGGCGGAGGATGCGACGGAGGAGAAGAGGCATGTGATGAGGGCGCAGGCGGAGGAGGATGCGGACCAGGCGGAGGAGGCGGTGGAGGAAGAGAAGGGGGGTTGCGGAACAGGGGCGGTGTTGGAAGAGGAGGCGGAGGAAGTGGAGTAGGAAGGGATGGAGGTGGGGTCAGCCGTTGCCAGTCCTCCTTGGGGGACCCTCGCGGCCGCGGCTGGATGCGTCTCGAACGGCTGATTCGAGTGTGTGTGTGTGTGTGTGCGTGTGCGTGTGTGTGTGTGTGTGTGTGTGTGTGTGTGTGTGTGTGTGTGTGTGTGTGTGTGTGTGTGTGTGTGTGTGTGTGAGGGAGCGGGCCATTGAAGCGTGTTGCGCCCCAGTAGCAGGCGTGAAGGAGAGAGGGCGGCAGGGTGAGGATGAAGTGGCGAGGTGTGCTTGTGCCCTCCCAGGAGCTTGCGAGGCATGGATTTTTCCCCCCTCCCCCCCTCCCCCCTCCTGCCCCTCTTCCTCCTGCTCCTCCTTCCGCTCAGACTTCCCCTCCCTCCCTCCTCCATTGTCCTCTCCTTCGCCTCTACCCACCCTCCTCCTCCTCCTCCTCCTCCGCCTCCTCCTCCTCCTCCTCCTCCTCCTACTTCTAGCCTTTCTGCTCTCAGGTTTTGAGAGTTGCGGACGCGTACTTCAGAGAGGCGCCGCGTTCGCGAGCCAAGCTTTCCCCTGTCCACTGCTTTCGCTGTCGTGGATGGGGCCCGATGTGCTTCCAGGGCCGCATCTCCCTCTCTGGGGATGTGGCAAGTGCGGGGCATTTGACAACTGGGCAAGCAGGGTCAAGTGCCGAGGATGTGGAAATTCCTGCCCCCAACGCGTGCTCGTGGCGGCCCAAGCTGCAGCCAACCGCGCCAAGGGAGGTGGAAAGGGGAGCCCAGCTGCTGCCAATGGAGGGAAGGGTCGTTGGGCCAATGGCCCGCCTGGTGGTCCAGGTGACGCCCAGGCCAAGACCATCCAAGCCATGCAGAAGCAGTTGGACGCCCTGCTCAAGGACAAGGAGAAGGACAACAAGCAGCAAGTTCAGTCTGCCCCTCCAGGCAGTGGCGGCGGCAGCGGCAACGGTGGCCCGTCCTTCAAGGAGGTCATCAACTTCCTGCAGGCCAAGGGCATCCAGGGCGAGCTGGTGGCCTCTGTCACAGCTGCGCAGCAGCGTGAAGTCGCCGAGCACCCGCCCTTCGTGGTCACGGCTCGCTGGAGGGTCGAGAACCTGCGGAAGAAGAACGAGAAGTTCGAGCAGCAGCTACGCAAGCTTCAAGAGCGTCGAGCTGCCCTCGATGAGGAAGAGGCAGCCATCAAGGCCTCTGTGGAGTCGCTTCGGCGAGACCTGTCACAAGCTGAAGGTGTCTATGCCAAGGTGTCGGCCACTGACCTCGGGGACTTGGTCAAGATCACCGAGGCCGCCTTGGACGAGTCGCTCCACGAAGACGCCGAGGTCAGGGCAGCCTTGGCCGTGCTGGACAAGCGCCAGAAGGAAGCGGTGGCCGCTCGAGGTGCTCCTGCTCAGCATCCTGGCGGTCCAGGCGGCTACGCTCCTCCTGGCGGCGATGCAGCTTCAGGAGCTCGCAGTGCCGAAGGGGCGCGAGGAGGTGAAGGCATCCCAGCAGCTGATGGAGATGGAGATGACATCGACATGGAGCTGCTGGGCCAAGACGACATCGACATCGAGGCGCGTACAGAAGACCTCAGGAAGGCCGCTGAGGAGCTCAGGCAAGCTTCCCCAGGAGAAGCTCAGGATGCCGCCAAGCGCAAGTACGCCCAGGCTGCCGCAGCCTTGGGGATCACACGTGCGCGGAGGCTTTGACGACCTCGAGCGCTTCTGGGACCACAACGTCGTGGACGTGGACTGGTCGGAGGAGATCGGCTTCGCGGTGCCGTCGCTGCTCCCGCGGCCTGTGCAGGCCCTCTCGGGGGCTTTGGCTGAGCCGATCTGGCGTCGTGGGGGCTTGGCCCATGCCGGCGCTGGAGAAGCTCTTGACCTCCAGGCTTGGCCTGCGCTGGGGCTGCACGTGGCTCGGCCACGACGGGGCCTCGGCCCGAAGGGCAGGGGGGCAGGGGATTCAGCCCCCGTTCGTCGAACCCCCCTGCCCGCATGCACGGGGAGTTCGAGTGCCTGCAGCGGCCCTTCGGCGTCATCGGTATTGCAGGTTCCTGCGGGGGCTCCCCAACTGGCCCGCTCCTCGGGGTTGGGGGCACGGGCAACTCAGAGGGCGTCCCCATCTTCGGCAGCGAGGTCGGCTTCTTCGGCTGCGACGGCTTGTTCTTCGCGTGGCGTTAGGACGCAACAGTCGTCGCCACCTGCCCTTCCCACCCCCAGGGCACCCTTTCCACAGGAGGCGGGGGACTCAGCGCGTGGGGAGGGGGGGCAGGATGTTCTGCTGGCGCAGCTTCCAGACGCAGAAGTTAGATTGGCTGGCAGTGTGCGTGGCCACCCTCGTCCCCAAGTGGAGCCCGATGCGGATTCGAAAATACTTCGGTTGAAATCCGACGGGAGGGCGGAAGTACCTCCCGCTCGTAATCTTCTTGCGGACGATCGTGACTCTGGTGTAGCGCGGGGATCTGCTGACTTGTGCGTTTTTGGAGCCAATGTCAACAGCTGGTCTACGGCAGACACTTTAGTGAACTGGGTCCGAGATCAAGCAGACGTCGGAGGGTCTGGGGCGGCTTCTTGGGGTTTGGTCCAAAGCAAGTTCCAGGTGGTCACGCTCCAGGAGACAAGGTTGAAGTCCCCCGACAAGATCATTTCGGCCCAGAGTTGGGCCCGCAGGAATGGGTACCAGGTGCCCCTCGGGAAGGCCCTCAGCACTGGCGACGGGCCCCTGCAAAGCTCTGGAGGAGTCGGTATTTTGGTCGCTGGGGAGATTGCCTCGAGGCCCTTGGATCTTCCAGGATTGGGCAGGTTCGACGGGAGGATCGTAGGTCGGGTCATCAATGCGGGGTTCGACCAGGGCCTTGAGATCCACAGTGTCTATCTCGTCAACGACATAGGCGTGACGGGCGAGAATCTAGAGATTTTGGAAGTTTTGGGAGCGCTTCTATTGTGCAGCAAGCGTCCGTGGGTTGTGCAAGGTGATTGGAATTTCACGCCCGCGGCTCTCCAGCTATCAGGTTGGATACAGCATGTGCACGGTGTGCTAGCCGCTACTGGCCAGGCAACCTGCTCGGCCTGCGCTCCCAGGACTGCCATGGGAGAAGATAAGGAGGAGGAGGAGGAGGAGCTGACGGAGCATGACGGAGGAGGAAGGGAGCTTGACTACTTCGTCGTGTCATCGGCTATCAGTTCATGCATCAAAGATGTCCAGGCTATCCGAGGAGCGCCGCTTTTTCCCCATTGCCCTGTGCTGCTTCGGTTGGGGAACCTCTGCCAGACGGCTGCGGTCCAGCAGCAGACGCGTTTCAAGCCGTTCAGCACCGCGCTCATGGGGCCGCTGCCGCAGGAAAGGGACATCCAATGGAGCGACCCTCTAGACTCAGATTTGGACTCGCTAGCTCGGGAGTGGTTCGGGGAAGCCGAAGCTCGCCTGGTTGAAATTCATGGGATAAGTGATTTGAAAGGGTACGTTGGTCGCTCCGCTGGGCCCCAGTCTCGAAAAGTTCCCTTAGCTGCGCTGCTAGAGCGAGATCACCGTCGGCGTTTTTCGAAGCAGACTGTCTGCTGGATCTCGTTCGAGACCCTGCTCAAGAAGGCAAAAGCTATTAGTGCTGGGAACCCAGGCGCCAAGGGGAGAGCTCTTTTGGGATCCTGGAAGCTTAAGCTGTTCGACATTTTGGAGGACCTCCAGCTGACTGAAGAGGGGCCCACCACGGCCCAGCTGCACACCATCGTTATGGCGGCATCGGGAGAAGGATCTTGGAACGACGGCGTCAATGGGGCCATCTGCAAAGAGTGCACTCGTCGCCAGAGGCTGGACGCGGCTTCGCTGCTGGCAAAGTGGAAGGAATGGGCCAAGAGTGCCGTCTCTGGAGGTGGTAAAGCGGCTCATGCCTTCTCCAAGCAACAGGTCTCGAGTGTTTTTTTCGCGAGGTATGTCAGATGATCCTCGGCTTCCAGTGGCTGGTCAGGCCGCAGTGCAAGAGCTTGTCGATGCGTGGCATCCGATGTGGTTTCGAGCTGGCCGCGGGCCCGCACCGAGCTCCTGGGAAGTTCCTGCCGACGAGGCTGCCCTTTCCCCGCTCAGACTGGAGGATTTACACCGAGTTTGCAGGATGTACGGGCCCGGCGGGCCTAGGCTGGGATGGATTTCACCCGAGGTGGGTATTGCAGCTGCCCGAAAGTTACCAGTTTCGGCTTCTGGAGATTTTGACGCTCTTCGAGGTTGACCCTGGGGCCTTCTTGATGTTCCTGACCAATGTGGTTTTCTTGGACAAACCGACGGGAGGGGTCAGGCCGATCGGATTGCTCTGCCTTTTCATGAAGCTCTGGAGCCGTTTGAGGCAGCCGTATTGCCGCTCATGGGAAAAGTCCCACGTGTACGAGTTTTTCTGGGGCGCTGGGCCCGACACTACGTGCGAGAGGGCTGGATGGGTCCACATCTTGCTCGGGGCTCATTGTCGTAAAGCAGGTTTCGAATCAGCGTCGGCTCTCTTGGACTTGGCTAAGTTCTATGAGAATGTTAACCACGGGGACCTACTGATTGCAGCTAAACGGTTTGGCTTTCCAGTTAGGCTGGTCAAAGCTTACTGTACCATCTATGCAGGCTACCGTGTGCTTCTTTACGGGGGGAGCTTCGTCGGCCGTCGTCGAATCGAACGGGGCGGTCGTAGCTGGGTGCTCGGGGGCCACGACTTTCGCCAAGATGTTGCTACTAGGACCGCTCTTGGAGGCCCGTGAGAGCAGGAACTTGTTGTATGTGCGCAATGTGGTGGACGACATCA